TCTCCCTGAGCGTCTTCCCCAGCCTGGCATAATCTCCCTTGATCCTCTCTAACGAGAACCTAGCCGTATCATTCGTTCCTACATGAAGGATTATCAGGGGGTTCTTACCTGCTCCTTGTAGGATCCTTTTCAATCGCAGGTCCACATCTGCTGGGCTACCTGGAGCAGCAGCATTAATGGAGTTAAAAATGCTGTAGGAGTCATTAGAAACATTCTGTCAAGAGAGTTAAGAGCAAGTGGACTGGCTGGGGCTGCATCACTTCAGATTATTCCCATCTTCAGGGGAAGGAGGGAGGTTTTGGCCAAATTATTGCAATCTTGCTTCATTAGGCCATTTGGCAGCACATCCATCTGAGAATGCCAGAAACCCACCTCCAGCTTCTCCCAGGAAACCCATCTGCTCTGGCCGGCTGCCCATGTTTGGAGGTGTAGGGTGCCCTCTGGTGGTGGAAGCGTACCTTTTTGTAAGAATAAAAGGCAATTTGCCTTGGGAACGGAAGGACGGCTGTAGAGAAGGATTGTTTTGAGACAGGTTTGCTGTTTTTTTGGTCGGGAGAGGGTAAGGTTGGTTCAGAGAGATCATTGGCTAGTTACCTCAACTGGCTGAGCGGCAGCTTCCCTCCCAGGTCAGAACATCCCTTTATTCCTGTGTAAACATTCTACAGTAACATTCTACCAAACACTGCATCTTGCAGTAATGCAACTGCATCTAGTGCCATCACTGCAGAATAGTACTGCATCATGTAAGTGTCTCATTAACCTCCCCAGCCCTGGTATCTAGTCTCTCTCTCCAGTGGAAGACATCTGACCTCTCTCCCCCTTCTCACTTCAAAGGTCCATATTTTACCTCTGCCTTCGAACAGGTGACACTGATCCTTCCACACAGCAAGACCCCTTTCCATGGAGCTAGACAACCTGAATAAAAGAAGACATAAAAGAAAAGGGCTCAGGCTTCCTCAGCAGCTTCAAGTTACTCTCAGGCAATGTGTCCTCATTCAAAAATAAACTGGTGGTGATGGCAGGGTGTGTGTGTGTGTTGGGGCGGGGGAGGGAGCTGTACAGAGGAGGGTTGTTAACATGCCTCAGCTTCCATGCTGTATTTTTAGGGTTGGCATTTAGACTTGGCTCAGGTACAAGTGGCTGGAAAATGTTTGGCATTTCCTTTTCCTGTCAGATGATATGGTGAGTACGTACAGGGTGCTCTACCCTAACGCATCAAACCCAGGCCCATCAGGTGGCTTGCATACAACGCAGGTGTCACCTCCTTGCCTTTTTGTTCATCTCTAACTTCCAGAAATAAAACAGTGTCTCCCTGGTTAATTAGGATTAATTATTCATGTTATTACTGTTAGCAATTAGCACTAATGGAGCCCTTTCCATCTTCAAAGCACTTTACAGATATTCACTAATTAATCACATCTCCTGCTCTGCTTGCTCTTAGAACCTGTCTGAAGCTAAACAAATAATTTAAAGCATGTTGTACTGTGTCAGGAGCTTCAAATAGCACAGGCCACTTGGGGAATACTTTAAATATATTCAGTGAGATGTCTAATAGGCTTTTTGTTAGATGTGCATCCACGACTTGGAAATATACTATTGCATGCGAAGGAAACTAAATTGCAAGTGAGTAGAATCTCCACCCCAGACGTATGGGAATGGGAATATTTATGAATGGAAATTGGTGACCAGCTGCCACAAATACACACAATTTATTTTAAAGCACAGGTAAAAGAGCTGCCAGAATAAGTTGCCAAATGATTAGGGAATTTTGGTTTAGGTTGCAGTTTCCTCTTCTCTTTGTCTTCCTAGATTTTCAAACAATTTCATTTTCTGTGGCTCTTCATACCCCAGCCATCAGTTTTATGATATGACTGATTTGGGTTCATGTCACATGCCGGGCTATCAGCTGGGGATGCCAAGGGCAGGGTAGCCTCATTCCATTTGCTCGGAAATCCATGAGATTCCCTGTTTTTTTTTTTTATATAGTGAAAAATATCCTCCGGATTTTGGGGGGTCTGTGAATACTGAGAAAACAGCGGCCCAGTAATTCCATTTACCCAAATGCAGAGTGGGTGAGGATTTGGACCGTGAGGGGTGGCTCACTGGACAGTACTTGTGATGCTTTTCTCACTAGATCCTTGAATATTTTTAAAGCTGCTATTCCCAGCACCGTCTGGAGCTGTCAGTTCTAATCATCAGAAGCTTCATGGCTGACTTTTGGATGCGGTACACTGGAATGCACCAATATCAGTGAAGCTAGCTCCCTTTATGGGGGGAAATCTCTGGCAATGATAGAATCACCAGTTTGCATCTTTACAAATACACGGATCCAATTTACTTTTAATGCTGGTAAAGACTCAAAGATGCATTTGCAATATTTTAAATGCTAGACCATGGAGGAACATATCATGAGAGAGGAGATGCAGGAAGGGCCCAGATCGTCCAGGGAGAAGAACAAGCAGACACAACGTGTTGTTTTTGAGAAGTTGTTTTCATGGGATCTAATATTCAGGAACACAGCAGATCCTGGTCCAGACCCTCAGTTCATGTAAATTTTCATAGCCCCCCTGACTTGAATGAAGACATTCCAGTTTAAGGATCTAGCCTATAGTGCCTGTGTGCATATGTCTGGGCAGGTAGTAGGAGATAGGTTAGGGTTTGAGACTAACATAGCATTGAATTGGTGTGTAGGGGACCCGGGTGAGTGATAAGGTGAAAGGATTTATTTAGCAGCGTTGTTGATTGCAGTTACTATTTGCTAAGCACTGACAACGTGCTCAAAGCTGTACAAGGCACAAATATGAAGATAGTCCCTGCCCAGAGGAAAGCCATGAAATGAGTGTGGTGACCCCAGCGTGGTACCATACAGACAGGAGGTCCAGTGCAAAGCTTGCGGTCCCAGAGTGGGTCAGGCTTGAGTTTAGAGTATAGACTGAGCTAGCCTCCCATTTAGAGGGGTTTCCCCCAGCTCAAAGCACACTGCTATGATGGAGCTTCCATGAAATCTGCCAAGGGCATGTGAGGAACAACTTGGGCATGAGACCACCCTGCCGATTCTTTGGTTTGACATAGTTGCAGTAAGAAGAAAAATGTGACCTATGGTTTCAACCTCCCCCTTTCCCCTCTTTTATCCCTTCACCTGGAAAAAAAATCTAACGCAAGAGAACCAGCTGCAGAAGTCTTTTAGTGGGAGAAGCTCATAAATCTCCATCCAGCCCCCCGACCTTTGGTTTCCCTGGGGATTCACATGGAGGGAAAGGAAGCATTTTTCCTGTGGCAGTGACATGTAGGACGGAGGTCTCCCCTTGTCAAACCAGATGTTATATAGATACACAAACCTGTGCTGTCAATTATAAAATTTGCCCAAATCCTTCCACTGAAGAAAAGGATATTCTAGTTAGAAAGGCACAGCTTTGATGAGAAGGTAGGGCTGGAGTAAGGGTTAACTAAAGGATTGGAAAGCAAAGTCCTTCTTTTTGTGAAGGACAGATTTTCCATTTCAAAAGAACCAGTCCCATAGAAGGTTGGGGGTTGAGTCTGGGTATGAGGAGGCATCCAGATTAGGATGGGAGAATGATCACCAAAGGTAAAACACAAGACAGCTCAGGTTCAGTGCTATCCAACACACCACCTTGATTTGAGTGTTGGCTCAGGGATTGATTCTGAGCTGAGTTCAAGTTTGGTTTGGGGTTCAGTACAGGATAAATGTTGGACCCTGTAGAGGACTCCACTTAGCACTCATCCTCACTAAGCCCATAGGGGAGGCAAGAGGCAGATATACTTGCTTTCCAAGGTGTCTCAGGCAGAAAACCAGAAAGTAATTGATTTCAGAGAGGCATCTGGTGATCTACCACACTCATGTGACAGAGACTCTTTCAGCCAGGAAGTGCAGGGTAGTTGAGAGAAGATAAATAATTAGCGTTGCAGGGGGCATTACCAGAGGAACATACAGCCTAGCAGCAGTAGCTATGAGAGAAATGCAGGGCACCAAGCAGGGGTTTCTTCCACCAGGTTGGTGTGGGGAGGGGTTGTCAGGTGTGCCATGTGGGCACAGCAGAGTTAGATGGGGGAATATGGGAGGAGCAGTGGAAACTTCATGTGGATCCAGTTAACTTTTCAAATTTCAAACACTAAGAGAAATAGTTAGAAATAGGATCCTAACACAGTTCTCCTTTGTCCCTTAACTAACAGTACACACCTGCTGTGGAAGTGCTAAGGCCCAGTTCCCCCGGGGGGAGGGGAGGGGGGTATTTTCTCAAGGGGACACCAGCAGAGTGCATTGCTCTCTCATCTGGATGGTGACAGAAATGGCAAGTCCCTGTTCTTCCATTAAGGGGACACTTCCTGTAGGTGGCACCAGAACCACTCCCTGCTCTTTAACTGGACAGAGAGATGCTATAGGCCATATCTCTCTCCCAAGAGAGGATATTTCCTGTGGGTGGCACCAGTGCCATGCCCTGCTTTCTAGCCTGGGCAGCAGCTGAGATATTAAGACCCAGTTACAAAAGTTCTTGAAATGAAGCTATTTGCTCTCAATTCCGCAGAGAGCAGTGTTCCGAGATTTCCCAGCATGCAAAGAATCTCCCCCTAACACCCAACATAGGAACTCTGAATTTTAGATGCAAAGATAAATTAAAAATTGGCATTGCATAGCCTCTCCTCCTCTCATGCTGCTGAAAAGTGATATTAACAGCTACCAGCTGAAGCTTAATACTGGTTTGCACATCAGAATAACCACTGCTGTTTAACAGATTGTTAATGTTCTCTGCGTAATTGTTACAGTCCTTCTCTCAATTTTCAAACCAGTATTGAAACAGGATAAAAACTGGTTCACTCTCTCCGAGGCTCGGCTCCCAAATGGCTGGAGCCAAAAATGACATAATTTTTTTCAGCAGTACAGTGCTGCCTGCCAGACACTAACAAATGCACTGTGAGTGGGGTATACTCACAATCCTCTTACAGTGGATAAAGGACTCATTGGAAGTAATTACTTTCTGCACTACATTTTTCCAGTGTACTCAATTGAATGTTTGGAGTCTGTCTGTGAGGTCAGGGACTTGAGTGCTAGGCTCAGCAAAGGGGAAAAAATTAATCTCCCCATCAACTACCACTCAATAAACCAACACCTGAAGGAAAAAGTTGTGACCAGGCAGAAAGTGGAACCAATACCCCTTTTCTATTTGCTAGCAAACATGGCACTGTGCACCTGTCCCAAATACACTCCAGAAAAGACTGCTGCAAGACCTGGGTGAATAATGCAAAAACGGTACTGGGAGTATTCGCTTGAGCATTTCAAGGAATTGACTTTGACTGTGTTGTGGCCCTGTGCACTCACATTCCCCCAGAACTGTACAGAGATTTGCTAGAATGAATATGCACAGTAAGCAAGCGGTCAGCCTGAGTAGTGGTCACATTTGACTTTGAACTGAGCAGTGAACGTCCATGATCTGAACAGTGAATGTGTAATTTGAAATTTGCTTAGCTAATGATGTGCTACAAAAGTCATCCAATCAGGGAACAGAATCAATACCATATGGCTGCTATAGCCAACTGCCAAAGTGCAAATGGTGAATATTCACAATGAACTCTTTGCAAAATACTCTGCGGGCTGAGAATTAATTACTAAAGAAATTTGAAAATATTAACAAATACATCTGAGAATTATGCAACTTGTCCATAAATAGAAAAAATGTTAAGTAAGTAATTCATTAGGAATTATTTGCCAAGCTCTTCTTGTTAACTCTTCCTGCATTTTGGAAACTTTCAGGGGTCATGTGAGGCCTGCGCTGTCTTCATTTGTCTTCAACTTCTTTAATTCCAGGCTAGCTATGGAGAGTGAGACTTAGTATCTGCCAATAAGTCAGTGGTCCTGACCATCCCATCTGTGGGGATCGCAATTACTCTGCCCACGTGTGAGGGCATGGCCTAGCACAGCAGCCGTACGCACGTGTTGTGCACCGCTCAGTGGACACAGCCAAGGGAAGAGTAATTGTCAGAGGAGGAAATGCTGCTCCGCATTCTCCCCTACTCAAACACATTTTGGGAGACTGTGCAAGGACAACATAGAGCTGTCAGGAATACTCTTCTGTTTCCTCACCAAGACAGCAGCAACAGACGTGCTAGGGAAATATCCTGCTGGACCTTAGTAGAACTGGCAGTAAACCATACCAAATAAGAGCCATTTATCCTAGTGTGATGGACTGTGGCTAGAGAGGAATGCACTCCAGAGATGAGGAAAAGATATGGGGAAGCACATGGATAATGGGCAATGTCTCCAACCATATGGTTGCCAGGAAGTGAATTCTCTGATGCACTGTTCACTTGGATGCATACTGCAACTTGTGTGCTGTTGTAAGGCCTACTCTTTTGAAAACTATGCAGGACAGTGGTCAAGTCTTTTGTGGTTTATGGCTGTCACTTATGAAGCATGTCAGTACAGTCTGCTGTCAGGGTCTCTATCTCTGCATAATATTGTTCATTACTTGACACATTCAGTCAACCAGCATCCTCCATACTCTGCCACCCACTGAGTGTATTTTGCTCCTCTTTCCTACCCTCTGCCTTTGTTCCTCATCATGCTGTGGACTGGAAGTCACAGTTATGGTTGCTAGGGGGTGGCAGTAGCTGTTGCACAGTCTCAGCACTTGACAAGCTGAGTTCTCATGTAATGAGCAAGACATAGATGCTACAGAGAGAGGCCAAATAGAAAGGCAACCAGAGACAGGCAGGTGGTCACACAGCAGGACAGAAAAAGGAGGATGAATGAATGATCTAGGCAGGGTTAGGAGAAAGGCAGAAAGAGACATAGAAAGAAAGGGAGAGAAAGCAGCACAGGCTGGGGAAAGATGCTTTTGTGGTTAAGGCACTAGACTTTGAGCCAGGTGATCTGGGTTCAACTCCCTATTCTGCCACATATTTCCTGTGTGACCTTGTACCAGTCACACTCTCTCTATTCCTGAGTTCCCCATCTGTAAATTAGGGATAATATGTCTTACAGTATTAGAGGGGAGCATAAATCCACAAATACCAGGAGATGCTCAGATACCACTCTCATGAAGGCCATGTAAATAGAAAGAGAGGATGGATAAAGAAAGTCTCTCATGAACTGTTACTGTACCTCCTGTTCATTGCCCTCCTTCTCTTTGCATTCCTACTTGCTCACAGCCCTGAACATGGAGGATGCTCAAATCAGATTTAGATACAAAGGCTCCTCCCTATGACTTTGCTCTGGACCACTGAAGATGGTAAAGGGAAAAGAGGAGACAGAACTCCACCAGCTAAACCTTGCCTTGTGTGCACTGGGGGGAGAGGGGAAGGGAAGAGGGGCACAGGGGGACTGTGGTAGGAGGGGAACCCACTATGATTTTAGGAATCCAAGATTGAAATATATTATGAAATTTGTGCAGTGTATAGTTCACACAGCTATATATGGAACTTGCTCTATACTCTGACTGCACTAAAGTGACCTGCTGTGCCTTTCCCTTTTGCTTATGAGAGCAATGAGACCCAGAATGGGATTTCACTACTGAACTCAAGGGGGAGGAGCAAGGGCACTTGTATTCTGCATCAGCATCTCAGTAGAGGAGGCTCCATTGTCACTGCCTACTGTTGCATACATTGGGATAATAGAGCGGGAGAGAAGTCAAGCACAGGGTCATGGCTCCTATACTCGGTGATATCAGAGCTCATTCATGGGGAAAATGATCACCCAGGCCCCCACTCTCCCATCTTTTGTAACATGAAGAGTCAAGTCAGGCAAACAAGAGGAGTGCTAGGAAAGACCATTTTGTCTTGCAGGTAAAAGATGAGAAAGCAGCACAAGGCCCACCTCAGAAGCTGGGGGTCAAGGCCAGGAGTAAACATTCCTCCCCTGGAAAAGGGAAGAGACAGTAGGGATTGTGCTTCAGAATATATTTAGCTGTCAGAAATGTAATAGCCAGAAAGGTGACTTTTCACCTTATTCTATGGGGATGCCAGGAATGAAATGCTACTGTGACAGAGTGGTGCTATAAACCTTATATCTATGATGGCCAGGAAACTCCGGGTCTGTACTGTTGATATCTTGGATAAGAAGCTGAACAGAACAGGGACAGGAGTTACCAAAAACATTGTTTCCATGTAGCATTTTTACTCATGAAACACAAGTTGGCCTTGCTGTGTAAGTCTCCACAATCATTTTTTTCTCCTCCCAAAGGGTACAGTTCTACTTATTGAGCTCAATGGAATTACACCCAGGATGAATTGTCCTCTTGATTATCTGTACTCCCATGGCAACTAGAGGCCCCAACCAAGATCAAGGCCCCATTTTACTGGACACTGCACATACCTAGAGTAAAAGGCAGTCTGTGTCCTGACAATGTCACAATCTCCACTCATTCTGCTTCCCCTGTTGTTGCACCTTACTTTAGTGCATCCACACACCTGTAGTCCATAATGCATCTTTATTCAAGAGAGGAGTTAGGTGAGTTTTACAATCAGAGATATCAAACCAGAAAACCTTTCCCTTGAGGACAAGATAGTGCTCCTGAATCCAGGTGCCTGCTCATGTGTATGTATATCAGCCACTTTCTCTTTGTAGGAAAGATGTTTTTTGTCTGACAGACAAGTCTCATCTGCCATGGCCAGTCCTATCTTGTTCTGTAGCTATCCTCCAGCAATGGACAATACTTTGTTTCAGGTGAAGAGGCAAACTTCACTATGCACCTAACCAACTGGGCAAAGCTGAAGCTTCCTTCTTGACTCCTGCAGGAATCAATTCACTCCCTGAAGCATAAGATTTGGTTACCATTCCTGAGTTAGGATAAACAATTGTCCTAAAATAACCCAGCTTTGAAATCTGACTCAATGACTTCCTGATGCTGTCACTTAATGGTCATCTCTCCAAAGACATGACAAACGGCACAGGATACAACTGAGGGCAGGAGAGAAGAATCCAGTCAGGAAAAACAGATGAGGTGGCCTAAACCTAGTTATTTCAATTTCATACTTTATTAAGTGTATCGTTATTCTTCAGGGCAGGAAATGTAGAATTGGAAGCATTCCTCTCTAAAATCTGGCAGAGAGGAAACCTCTCTTCCTTTTTTTTTTTATCACCCTGTCTCTCCCACCTCCGTCACACTGGCCTCTCCCAAAACACACAATTTCAGGTTTCAATACAGATGCTCCAGATGGGACATTGTATACCTGAGCCTGGATGCTGAACAATGCCCACTTTCTTTCCCACGGAGCAGCACGGAGTAAGAGACTCGTGTTGTCTCAGCTTTCGTAGCGGGAGATTTATGAGGTGTTCCACTCCAGGGGACACTGCCAAATGTTAATTGCTTCTGTTACATGACTGCTGAGGAAGAAAGGGAAGAAAAAGAAGGAACTCTTTCAATAAAAGACTGTGTTTGAGGTTCATTGCCTTTAAATGAAGTATCAGTTTATATCCCTTCTGAATTGCTGGTCACCTTTGGTTCTGCTTTTGAATACTAGTTGCCACAGTGCTACCTGCCTTTATTCTGTTCTTGGTTAAGAAGGATATAGAAATGTCCAATAAGCACATTTAGCATGCAAGAGAAAAACCCAAACAACTCAGCATCTTTGAAGTGCAGTGTCTAAGCAAGATAACCATGTTGGCAAGGGGTTAGCCACACAAGGGGTCCCCATTAAACAAGGCACAGTTATACCTAACTTGATTGCCTCTCTCCCCAGTCTGTGGCTCTCATTTTTATGCTGGTATAATTCTATGGAGTTATATCCATATACAATTATAGTCATGCCGCTGTAAATCAGGCCCCATGTTTTTATTTGGGGTGTGAGGGGAACATTTATTTTTCCTAATGTGTTTTTTTTTAAACATATGTAATGTTTTGGATCAGGGCTAATTTATTTTAGAAAAGTGGCCTGGATAATTAATCTATAATCCCACTGACAGAGAAAAATTAGTGGGAATTTTAATAGAAGCAGTAAAGTAGTAGTTACTTTTGCAACACAACAGAGACACTTTATCCACTAAGCCAGTGGTTCTCAACCAGGGGTACACATCTTGCCAGGGGTACATCAACTCACCTAGATATTAGCCTACTTTTACAACAGGCTACATAAAAAGCACGAGTGAAGTCAGTACAAACTAAAATTTCATACAGACAATGACTTGTTTATACTGCTCTATATACGATACACTGAAATGTAAGTACAGTATTTATATTTCAATTGATTTGTTTTATAATTATATGGTAAAAATGAGAGTCAGCCATTTCTCAGTCATAGTGTGCTATGACCCTTTTGTATTTTTATATCTGATTTTGTAAGCAAGTAGTTTTTAAGTGAGGTGAAACTTAAGGGTACTCAAGACAAATCAGCCTCCTGAAAGGGATACAGTAGGCTGGAAAAGTTGAGAGCCACTGCACTAAGCTTCACACACTTTTGATGTGGAGCCATGATAACCATAGGACGGTTTCTGTAGTGCAGTTGATACACTGAGAATTACCATTAAATAAAAAGTTAGACGAGCTATTACTGGATTCAAGGAAAGCAATTTCTTCAGCTCACACCGAGATCTATGTGTGAACACTAAATTCCATGTAAATCAGATATGGTTTACTGTGGCCATAACCTGTAGCTCTTATTCAAAACTGAGATATGTTGCATCCGAAGAAGTGAGGTTTTTACTTACGAAAGCATATGCCCAAATAAATCTGTTAGTCTTTAAGGTGCCACCAGACTCCTTGTTGTTTTTGAGATATGACTGAGTAATGGCTGCAGGGTTTGACCCTGTGCATTTAACTTCTTTAATGAAGAAAACAGAGGACTTTCCCCACATCTAATGCACATATAGTAAGGCAATGTTTGTATATGATGTTAAAGTAAGTCTGTGCAAAAATAAATCTCAGAAACAAAGAAACCTCATTATTTTGCAATACTTGGTATTGCCAGAGCAACACTCCAGATTCCTGATTGAGTTCAGTCTCAAATAGAGTTAATTACATTCTTGTTTTTCAGACTTGGCTTGAGTCGCTCCAGTAGTGTCCATGTTACACATGGTGTGTACCATTGGCAGGGCTGGATTAAGGCATAGGCTACCTAGACACATGGTTAGGATCCAATTTGTGGGAGGGCCCAATCTGAGCTGTGGCTGGTCTGGTTCAGGTACTGGTGCAGAAGCTAGCCCAGCGGCAGTACTGAGAAGCAGCAGTGAGGAGCAGCAACTCTGACCTCCCCACTGCCATTCAGGTTTGTTTCTGCAGCTCCTCCATCATAGCAGGTCAGTGCAGCCAGAATTGAGTGAGTGTCATTGCAACATGGCACACAGGGGTCACAGTGATGCTCGGATTTTGCCCCTTGAAGGGGCTGTGGGCCCAACCTGAGCAGCACTGTGACCCATGTGCTTCATCACGGAGGGCCATGCAAACCTGCCAGGATGCAATGCCATTCACTCAGTTTTGGCCCTGCCAACCCCTCCATCATGATAGAGGGCCACAGGGCCAAATCTGAATGGGCAGTGGGGTGGCACATTTTGGGATTGGCTCCTGCACCAGGGCTCCCCTGCAGCCTTTTCCTGCTTCGAGAAGCCTGTGTCCCTCTGCTCTGCCTGCAGGACTTGCTCAGTGACAGCCTCAAGTCCTGTTAGAAGTACAGGGAGCCACGGTGAGTGCCCACACACAGGTGAGCTGGTGGAGAAAGGGAAGTGGGGGGTTCTGGGGAGTGGACACAAGGGGAGTTTGCTTAGTGTAAGATAAAAAATTGTATGTGTAGACAACCTGCTAAACTAAAGTAAGAGTGTTTCAGTTATGTGCACCAAGTGAAAAATTTCTTGGGGTGCCTCTGAGCCACTCTCCATAGTGTGTAACTCAGAGGAAACAGAAAAGGAGGACAAGTGACTTTAACATGTATCCTTAAAAAAAGAGCTATCAAGTAATTAAAGTGCCAAAATTTGCCAGGAATAAGGGTACTCACTGTTACTGAATCCTGCCAGTAACCTCCAGTTATGACTGGTACCAGAGATCCATCCTGGAGCATTGTTACTCAGCTCTGGAATCATTACAGGAGTCTGGATGGAAAACCATTTACATGGCCAAAATGCCCTTTTAGTTCCTAGAACTGGGGTGGATTTGACTTGTACCTGGGAAAGTTTTGGAGATGGAAAAGCTGCAAGCAGAAATACCCTGACTATTCACAGCAAAGAACTACCCATTAGCCAAGAATTTCACAAAACCTCCAGGCTATTTCTCACAAGAACTCCAGCAAAGAGTTCAGAACGTCTTTGGGAAGGTAGAGAATGCCAACTTCTTTGTGGGGCATTTGCCCATATTCAGTTATCTCTTTAAAGTTTATACATTTACATTTAATAATGGTTTCCAGCTCACTCACCAATAACTGAATGAAAGGGCTAACCTCCTACCACTTCCTCAGCAGAATACTCAGCTTCTGATCTAGTGTTCAGGCTTCTCTCTTCCTTTCAGAAGCTGGACTTTCTAGTAAATAAAAACACCCCACACAAAGAACTAGGCCCACCACTTGTATAGGCTGATGGACCTAATTGGACCCACCTGACAGTATGACTCAGCAGTAATTACTCAGACTTGTAATGCAGGATTTTAATGCATGAATGTATGGTGACTCAACAGAAGAGCCTTCCATTTCTATACAGGGCCTTAGAGTCTCCCACCTTGTTACAAATCCGCAGTTATATATATTTGGAAAAGAAATGCACCAAACACTGTTAGAAATTATTCCACTGTGGAAAGGTTGTTTTATTCTGACACCTTTTTGGACATTTCATTAGCTAACAGTTTCTCCCTGTCATACCCCAAGACCCTTGTTTGAGGGAATTGTAAGTCAAATTTATTCCTGGTTAACTGACGTCTGTTGACTTACACCGGCCATGAATTTGGCTGACTATGTCTGGGAATAACATCACATGGGTACTATACTGTAAATAACACAGGTATGTCATCTGCAGGACTCATTCTGAGACCTCTACTGCAAGTGTCACTTCCTGAGGTGGCACTATATTCTGGGAATGCTGTCACTGTGCCGTAACAATTACTGGGGTTATAAAATACTCCTCCGTTGCCTCTCCTCCACCTCTTACATCAGCTTGAAATTAGACTGTGAATGAAATAGCTAACAGCAGCATGGCTGGCTGAATATCAGCTGATCACAACAGTGTGGCAATCTCCAGTATGATACACTGCATGGTGGTGGGATCGTGAAATGTCCACTCCAAGGCAACACTTCTCCAAGACATGAGGGCCTCCAGTCTCTGGAGAAAGCTGCACTTCAGTTTGTAAAAGGAGAGTTCCTAGCTAAAACTTCCCTCCCATAAGTCACAAACCAACTGGATCCAAGCTGCCTTCATTCAAGGAAAGTGGGGAGTGTTCAAGTGACTTTGAGTGAGAAAGAAACAGATCTCTGTTTTGAGTAGACCCTTCTCCCTGTCTATAGCCAGCCTCTCCAGCTTTATACAATTGACGTATGCATCTCAGCAAATGATGCCCGAGGACGAAAGCTGGGGAACAGGGCAGGAGGCAAAATCTGAAAACATTTTGTAAAATGAAACTCTTTCTCTAGACTTGTAAATACTGTAACAGCTTGTAATCCTGAGCCAGTTTAGAGACCATGTCCCCACTCAGAACGGGATCAGGAAGTTAGCTTTACTTAATACCCTGTTCCATTAAGTGGCAGATGAGTGGTAACAATGATTTATTTGCCGAAGTAGCCCAACAGGGTTCTCTGTCCCCACTGTTTTGCATGATTGGTTTCACTTTGCAGAAGCGGTTACTCAGTGTTCAGATGGTTATTGGCTCCACTGTGCAAACAGCATGAGTAGATCTCCTGCTTCTGGTTTTCCAGGACTCTTTATATATTAGTGGTGATATAACAAACTCCATCCTGCCTGGTATTTTCCACCCTTTGATGATGTCATCATGATGCAGTGTAGTCCTGTGTAATGTTGGAGCTACTCCTTCTTGCCCTCTAACAAAGGATATGCAAGAAAACTTAGTGGGGAGCAGTTAAGAAGGTCGTAATCCAAGAACTGCCAGGTGTGTCATTGATCAGTGAGGGGTTTTTATTCACTTGGAATAATATTTTAGGAATCAGCTTCTTCCTATGCATTCATAATGCTCCCTAGGCAGAGCCTTCTCTTTGGTTTGGCCATGACAGCCTGTGACCCTGTGCAACCCAGCCCTCCTTAAACGTTGGCCAGTGGAGCCTACAATAAGGATCATCTCCAATAGGCTGTCCCCCTTTCTTAAAGGACCACTTTAAGGAAGCTTTGCAAAACTGTTATAGAAATTCACATGCTCAAGCACAAATCTACTGATCAGCCTTTTACCATGATGATTGAGGATGGAAATAATAATGGTATTTTACTTACCAGTACTTGCCTCCAGACCAGCCCTCTCCCAAAGAAAAATCTCACAGAAAACTCATACAAGGCGTGCAGGCAAATACAGCTCTGCAAGCCTACTATTAGGTGTCCCCAAGGTTTCTGACCAGTTCTGTTTGACCTGTAGTTAAAGAACTCAACTAGGTATGTCAGGTAGGCGGTGCCCTGGGTAGGCACTTGATTATATATTCAAAAGCACTTCCATGAAGTGCAGATATTTGGACAAAGAAGAGTCCTTACTGGCATGAGAGAGGGCTTTAAGGGGGGGCGGGTGGATTCTCAAATGTGCACAGTGTTGGTCTCACTGAAAAGAATGATGAAATTGCTGCTGATTTTAAAGGGAGCAGAGATAGGCCAATACTGAACGTTTTGGAAAATCCCACCCTAATTCCCTGATCTAATTCCCCCCTGCCACCCTATGTGGGATCCTTGGCACAGGGATTTCTGATATTCTCTCACCTTTTCCCCCTCCTCTGCCCTTTCTCTTTTGAAGCTCTGACTTGTACCTATGAAGTATGGCCACGAATCCCCCTCAAGATCTGTTATCAACACCCCTGAATCAGTCATTCTGAGTTACTATGGAACTTCACAAAGTGTTTCACCATTTTCACCTCATTTAAATAATCTACTCTCACCCCAAATCTCATCTCTTGGCTGCAAGTCTGCCGCCCAAGGACATGTTTCCCTTTGGACCTTTCTACTTTATTCTTAAAACAGATTGTTGTTGCTGAGTGATGCAAAGTTTTCCCTTCTCTTCCCCAGCTGCCCCATAGAACAAGGGTCAGGGACCGAAGCAGATCTGTCCTTTAACAGGGTACAGTTTGCTTTTCTTGCATATTGTACATATGCTTTTTAAGTAAAAGGAACAAACCCAGATCAGATAGTTTGTTCTTCTAATACAGCACAACCTCAATGGGGAAACTGCACAGGAGGGTCGATTCCATGTGTTGCTATGTAGGCACCATCAGTCACACAGGCATAGGAGGAACACGGGAGTATGTGTCCCCTTATCCTGCCCAGGATTTTATTCAGGAATTAGACACCCTATATTTTGTTAGAAGCTACATTTGTCCTTTCCCAATATTATAAAAAATTGGGCCACCCCATGCATGCGTGTGTAACATCTAATCTAATCTATCTATCTAAGTACTTAGATTATGTACTTACTGCAAAATTCCTGCTGCTTCTGCCCCCACCCCCTCCCACCTCCACCCCTGACTGCCCAAACCCACTAGCAAGTCATCTTGTCCCTGCCATTCTGTGAAACTTTCGCCTGTTCCAGTCCCATCAGTACCTGTCACTCCAGATAGCTGCGTCTCTGTCTCTCTCTCTGATCAACCCTGCTCAGCTCTTGGCTCAGGGGGAACATTCTTGGTCACTGTTTCGCAGTCGGCTCTGCACCTGTTTCTCCACAACGGCACCATGGGAGTCTAAAGCATAATAAAGGGATATAAATAATGCAGTGACACACACGCTAGCTTACACAATCCACTACGGACGGCAGTGTGTGCAATCTGTAATGAGAACCATCAGCTGTCCTCTTGCAAGCTTCTCAAAACCCTGTCACTGGGCCCTTTTGATATCATCCAGACTATCACAAGCAAGTGGGTCTTTGGGTCCTATACTGGGAGATCCTCCACAACTCAGATGGTAAAGATTTTGCAATTCTACCTAAATATTTACATAACAAATAGTGATCTTGAACTATTTTGTTGCCATCAAACACATTTTTAGGTAGTAAAAAAAAGGGACTCAGATCCATCCCTGGTGTAACTCCTCTGGCCCAGAGTTTTTTGTTTTATTTGAGAGATCTGTGGTCCTTAGAACCCTAATTTAAAAAGAAAGGGTATTATATATCTGTTTACATTTAAAAATGTGTGCAAGTCTGCCACTGAAAACCAGTGAGGAGTTTATGAGATTATACAAAACCCCAGTGCAGATTCTCCCAAGATTACTAGGTATATTTTAGCCAATAACATAGTAGAAACTCTGAGTTGTCTTTAAAATGAAAGCTTTACAATTACACTGATAATTCCCTACCTCCTGTCAGCAGTGACCATCTTAATAGAAGGTGACATCATCTATGGTATCAGAAGTAGGAGAGGCCCAAAGACAGAGATCGTAAACCAGTTTCCTTCCAGTGGAATACTGATTTAACAATCGGGGGGGAGGAGGGGGAGGAGTTTTTCTGTTCAAGCATTAACCAGACTATTTTAATGTTAAAGAGTATGATCCTGTTTCTGATAATTAAACCAGCATTAAAACTGAGTGGGGGCTGTCAAATTTCAACTCACAACAAATGGAGTCTCCTTTCAATATCCACAGAAAAATTCACATTGCCAAAATGCCAGGTCAAACTCTCACTAAAGCTCTTTGTTACACTGTCTTCAAACAGAGCAAAACAAGTTAATTCTATTAGCTTTCATGCAGTGTGTATATGTGTGTTTGTGTGCATGCATGCATGAGAGAGAGAGAAAGGGGGGGCACATATCACTTGCACAGGTATATTATCTTACACCTTGGGTAATGGAACTTGTGGGTGGATCTCTTACCCCATATGAACAGTTACACCTAATACTTGGGGATGATCCTGGGTTAGTATTTTAGTGCCTGGAGTGTTTTGTGCTTGAAGATAAGAATCTTGTTACATTCAGTGAAGTTTTATTCACTGGGGCAAGTTTGGAGATTTTCTGACAGAACGCTTTCCCACAGGAAAATGCCAATTTGTCAAAAGTGAAACATTTTGTGGTAACATCTAGATGTCAGCTCAATTTTGTTAAGGCACCTATCTACATCTTTAGGCATCTAAATGGCTTTAAAACCTGGCCTCTAGTGACAAGCGAGGGGTTTTCTTCCTTGCATAAATCCCATCAAAAGGTGTCTATTCTATGAGTCCTTTCCCTCTATGAGTGAAAAGCTATTGGTAAGGAGCTGAATATATACCACTCTCTTTAGCATCTGGTCAGTCTGACCATGCTGCTATAAAGTGGGGAAGGTGGTTACAATTTCCCATCAAAGTGAAAAAATCAGCAAGATCTTGTTCACACATCAGAAAGCCTACAGGACTCAGTCCTTGAGCTCTGCCTAGGCATTGCTCCCAGCAGTGCTCCAGACAAGAGATGCAGACAGGTTGTAGTCCTGTCAAGGGCTGCAATTGCCATGTGGTTTTTATGGGAGCGCAGTGAACCAAGATTTAGGACAACTGGGATGCAGATCAGAGCCAAATTTTTGAAGTTTCTGCTTTACTGAGTGTCTTTCAGCAAGACACAAGCAGCTCTGACATTTCAGGAAAAATAAAAGAAAATTTATGGCCTCAAAAAGACCCAACTGTTTTTCATAGCTGCATTTATTTTTATATCCCTAAGATTTTAAGCAATCTGTTTCCATAGGGAAAAAAAAGTATTGTCGCATTCTGATTAATTTATCATTCTGATCCTTGACAAACTATATTTTTAACACACAAAAATTGTTCTAAAAGGCTCTAGAGTTTTTTGGTGCTCTAGGTCAGGGTTCTAATATACAGTGTGTTTGTGTGTGTGTATATATAGAGAATTATACTGCCATGTCTCTCTGTTGAATGTCTTTCACCAACTCACTGATTAAAATATAGCCTCGGATCCCAATCCTGCAATTAACTGTGGGTGCACATTCGCCTGTGTGGAGCCCCAGAGACTCCAGTAGGGGTGTGCCTGCATGCAGTCACTTGCAAGATCAGGACCTAGTCTATAGTGGCCACAAATAGTTACGATCTGACAGCTGCGTGGTGACCTAATGTGAAATTAGTTGGTAATCTCAGTCCAATTCCTGGTAGCGAACATGTGACCGTATCCCTAAAAACCACCATCACAGCCGGTATGACTTGGCACCCTTATTAGCAATCTCAAATAGAAGGCTCAATTGTTGCCTGTGCATAGAAACCGAACTCCCCTATGATCCCTAGAGATAGCGCCGCCAGATCAGGGTTGAGGTACACTGGCAGGGCAGCATGGAGAAGAGTGCATTGCGGCCGCCTGTGCTTTACCAGTTCTGTGGGTAAACAGAAGACTTCAGTCTCTCCAATGCTGTTTTCAGTCTGGCATCTTGCACCAGCACTAAATTTATTTTAAGTAAAAAAAGCAACTGAGAGCCTTCGCATGTGTTCCGAAGGTCTGAGCACCATGAAGCTAAGTGGTTTGGGGACCAGCAGGATATGGCAAGCCATATCCAGTAAGCCCCCAGGGATGCAGAAACACACCACATGCTTTTCACTGAATTCTCAGTCCTTTCCGCACACTTTTGAAATTGTTAATATTTATTTGAATTTTCTGTCATCAGATTCCTTCTGGTGCTAGGAATTTCCTTCTCTCTGGGAGGAAGGCTTGCTTTGCTAAATAAGGAGCTCTCACACAGAGTTGAACACTGAACTGTGTTTAGGGGTGGTGAGTGGTCTGAAAAGTCTTATAATAGAACATAAATCTTAAAGGGATATTGCCTAGATTTAGAGCCAATATTTGTTCCACCTTAAAATTGTTGTAATCTAGACAGAGATATCTTAAAGTCTCCAATAGTCAGATTTTGATCTAACTCACACTGTTTGTAAATCAGGAGTAACTCCACTGAAGTCAATGAAGTTACACAAGTCTAAATCTCAGAATCAGCCCTAACTCTCTCTCCTTAAAAACAACATCTCACTCCACCATAGCTGAGGCAGTATTTTTTAAAAAGCCATTATTTTTATAGGATCTCTACAATTGTTTTCTGCTATTTTGTTATGTGCTTATGCCTGCTGGCTCTGACTCTAAAACTGTAATTAATTACCAAGTACTGTTCCCACATATATTTCTGCTGGCTTGATTGATGATGCTGAATGCACAACTAAAGAAGTAAAGAAAATATTCATGTCGAAAGGACACTTTCAAGGTGCTTTGTGTAATTCAAAAAAACCGCACGCATTTCTCTTGCTCTTGTTTTCATTGGAAGCTGGAATGCAGAAGGTGTTACATTTAGCTATTTTTGCCATTCACTCAGTGCACACACTAGTTTGTTGGAGCTTCGCTCAGAAGAGTCGCACTATTGACTTTAAAAAAAAAGTTTTTAATTGGATGCTTTGTCAAGTCCTGCGTATTGGGCAGTGCATTGATGTGCTGGTACCAGGAGCAGTGGAGTCAGGGAATCACGCACAGAGTGGCATGATTTCTTCTCTGTTCCCCCCTATGCTCCAGGGATGGAAGGAATATGCTGTTGGTCCATTCCTATAACTCAGTATTACCCACTCCATTCTGGCGCAGGTTCTGCCTATTCCCCCACCCTGCCCACCCACTTCCTGCTCAGCCACTTCCTGCCCACCTATTCTAGGGAGGGAGCATAGTGGGTGCACAGCACCTGTTTACCCTGCACACCAGGCCCCTATGTCTGCATAGCCCATGCAGAGGTAGAATCTAGCCCAATGAGATCGGAAGCATCTTTTTTTTAAGTTCAGCTCTGGTTGAGGAAGCAGGGAAAGAAAACAAAAAAGGACAAGAGTGGCAGGGAACTAACCTATTTTCATGTGTCTAAGACAGTGTTGCAAATAAGAGGGAGTATACAAAAATGAAACACTAGGGGCCAGATTCTGTCACCCTTACTCATGTGGAGGGGTGTCTTACACTGCAAGCAATCCCAATGGTTTCAGTGGGAATACTTGTAGAGTAAGGTAGTACTCAGTGTGACTAAAGGTGGCTCAGTGTGGGCCTATAAAAGTGGTCTATAGTTAACTTGCCTTTAATACCAGGATTTCTTCCTCCCCCTGCTTTTTAGAAGGTGAATCTCAGTAGCAATACTGCCCTTCATGGCCCGAGCCAAAGCTGGAGATCCCTGGCTTTGCTTTGTCCGTTTTCCGCCTCATCACTTCTTTTGCTTTATTGCTTCTGCTGTGTTTTTATTCATCTCTCTTCTTTTACAAGCAGGTCCCTGAAACCCTTCTCTGGCTGTGTCCTTCCTGCTCTCCTGAAGAATCAGTTACCGAAATCCCAACTGGACTAGCCTGCCAGATTGCTTTGAGTAGTGAACTGCTGCCCCCGTTTCATTTGCCTTGTAGGCAACTCTGCTTTTCCTCCCTTTTCACAGATGTTTCACATTACTGTAGGGCTTCAAACAGGAAGGCAGGGGACTGTGGAATATTTTGCTACATTAAGTAATGCAGGTCAGACTTGAAACATTTGGAAAGGAGTTGGATAAACTCAAACAAAGCTGGTTGTTGAAGCCCTGGTCTTGTGGGTTTCGTGCATCAGTCTCCAGTGGTAGGGACAGACGGTAAAATTTGGCAGATTTGTCAAGAGAAAAGGATGAAGACTGTCACTTGCCTACGTGTAAAGCTGGCCTTTTGCTGCCTTTCCTTCCTCACCAACTCAGAATTTATCACTCCCTAGTAATTTTTCCCTACATGAAGCTTATTGCTCCTTTCCCT